TTTGATATTATTCATTCATTTTTACTGGTCAATTGTTTCCCATCTTATAAATTGGCCACAATTTATTTATCTATTTTCTTGTTAACAGGCATCTAGGTTATTTCCATTTTCCTAGGTACAAACAATCCTGCTGTTGGCCGTCTGCATGGGTTTCTCTAAAGTTCTGCTTCTCAAGCTTTAATGAGCTTGAGTTACCTGAAATATCTTGGTAACTACAGATCTGACTCAGCAGGTCCAAGACAGTGACTGAGAGTTGAATTTTTATTTTTCATTTATTTAAGATAACTTTTTTCCTTTTTTATGTGGTGCTGAGGATTGAACCCAATGCCTCACACATTCTAGGCAAGCGCTCTACTGGTGAGCCACAATCCCAGGCCTGTTTTTTTTTTTTAATATTTATTTTTTAGTTGTAGTTGGACACAATATCTTTATTTATTTTTATGTGGTGTTGAGAATTTTTTACAAAGTGTACCATGCTGTGAGAAGTGGGGTTCTAGTAATACTGAGAATTGCTGGGTTATAGGGCGTGTACATCATCAACTTTCTCAGACATCAAATTGAACAAATTTCACTCCAAATGAAGTGAATGTTTCCATTTCCAAATTCTCACCAACACTTGATCTTGTGAGAATCTTAGCAATCTGAAAGCATGAAACAATAAAGTCACATTTCCCTGATTATTATGATAATGATACTCTTTTCATGGTTTTTAACTATTTAAGCTTTTTTTCCATTTGTATAGTATACCCATTTCTCTAATGCAGCAGTTCCAAGTGTGATCCAAGGGCTCTGAGATACATTTGGCAAAGGGTCTGCAAAAGCCCCTCCTTTTCCAATTACATAGCTATGTAAGGCTAGATTAWCTTCATGTATTTAACTAAAACATATAGAAACAGATTGATTGCTCTGCAGGTAGGAGAGTCCAGCCCTCTTAAGTTAAACATTWAAAAGATTTATAAAATGTAAAACAATGGTATTCTTCTCATTAAACTTTATATTTAGCATGTATTATTTTTTACTTTTTAAAAATTTTCTCAATKTTAATTCTAACACATATGATCCACATACACAAAAACTCTGGTTATCAATTTTTTAAAGTATAAAGGGACTGGGAGGTTGTAATGGACATCTGTAATCCTAGCTACTCAAAAGGCCAAAGCAGGAAGACAAGTTCCTTGAACCCAATCTAGTGTCTCTTTTAATTATTTAAATAATTAAATAATAGACAAATACATAAATTTGTAAAGGGGTTCAGGACCAAAATGGGTGAGCACTGCTATTCTAACACACAACTGTCATTTCTCACTGATTTGTAGGAGGTTCTTAGGTTTTTCCAGCGTATTCAAGTTACTGACCTTGTCAGTTATGTGTACTGCAAACATTTTCTCCAGTCAGCAGCTTGTCTTTTTACTTAAGTGCCTATTGTTCTACAGAAGTTTTAGGTGTGATRCAATCCTATTTACTGTAAATGTTGTGTTTTCATGTCTGATTTTAAAGAAATTCTCTGTTCTGAAAAAATCACAAAGATAATTTATAGATTCTCATTTAAATGTTTTGGTTTTCACATTTAGATCTTTTATACTTGTAATTTGTATTTTGGAAAGGGTGTAGAGTAGTACATATTATATTTTCACTCTAAAGATAACTCCCCACAATCTGTTAAAAATCCCACATTATGGGATTTTTAACATATGCATAGACGTGTTTCCGGGCTCTCTGTTCTCATCAGAGTTATGCTGACCTACACAGGCACCAGTCACACATTGCTCTAATACCTCTTAATAATATTCTTTCATATTAACAAATCCAAGCCTCTCCCTTTTATTCCTCAAATTATCTTTCTTCTTCTCCCCCAACCCCCACCCTTTGGCACCAGAGATTGAACCAGGGGTACTTAACAACTGAGCCACATTCCCAACTCTGTTTTATTTGACTTAGAGATAGGTCTTCACTAAGTTGCTGAGGCTGGATCTGAACTTGTGATTCTCTAGCCTCAGGCTCCTGAGCTGTTGGGATTACAGGTGTATGCCACCATACCTAAAAAGTTGATTCTTCTTAAAAGTAACCCCCTACCAAGGCTAACAAAGTTAACCTTGTGTAATAAAAGTGTGATAAAAGGATTACTATGTTGAGAGGCTAAGCAGCATYCCCTAACCAGCTGTGGAGTTCATATCTGTCTGAGCTCAGCTTTCTCTGGAGCAAAAGATCTAACAATCATTTTTTACTTTCCTTCTACAAATCCCAAGAGCCTATAATTTTGGCATTAAGTAAAAATTAAGTAAATTAGCTGATGAAGAAAAGGCTAATTGTAATGAGTAGAAATACTTCAACATTGCAGATTATTAATAAAGTGAATTTAGGAATTTGCCCATAGGGTCATAAGGTTCTATTTATTGCTTTATGTTGAAAGTTAGGCTAGAATCAGTACCACACCACACAGCATTCTCAAGGTTTGGGGATCCTCTAAAATGAAATTTACTGTAAGAATTAATTTCAGGGACAATTTCTACAAATACTAAAGTAGCTTTCCATCTGAAAATTCTGCAGAGGAAGACCTTAAAGAAAATGAAATCTTCTGATAAAATCCTGTGGGTATTATTACAACACAAAAATACCAATATTGCTCTACCAGCAATCAACACACACTCTGATAAGACAGATCTTCTACAAATTCATGCACCGTGGAGCTCTTTCTCCTTTGTGACCCACGTCAAGAATTAGCAAAATCACTTTTTTGTGGGGGGGGCTAATTCTTGACTTTGTTTACAAAGGATATTGTCCTATTTTGAAATAGGGAAAGTCTAAATGGGTTTTATAGAAGCCCAAACTCTTGCTCCATTGAAGACTCATAGGGGGAAAAAAAAGAGATTTTCCTTAACTCTCTTCTCCCAGAGTCAATGTTATCTTCACATCTGAAGCAAGTTACATCAAGATAGTTGCTAYTGACCCTTAATGAGATCAATGCAAAATATGTGCTCCTGTATTTTAGAATATGATTTTGCCTCAAACAAAACTGCCACTGATTCACCAAAAATATTATTTTACCCCTGGCATCATATGTATGTTCTTGTTTTCTTCTTCAGATGTAGATTTAGGAAACAAATTCCTTTAAAACTGCATGAACACATGATTCAATGTGCACACTTCTATCTGCAAATATTTTAATTAAAAAAKATTTAATTCATTTAAATTGGGCAGTATTTTGTATAAAGCTTTTGTTTTAAAAATTGTTTTCATATATACTATTTTATTTGCCTTCATAATGATCCTGTATGATGAATGGAGATAATACTATTATACTAAGCAATTTGTTGTAATAAGGAAAATGAAGAGAGGATTTATCAACATCATATCAGATTAGAGACAAGATCATCACTAACTTCCAATCACAACTGATGAAGATCTTTTGAAAAGTAAGGTTGTTTTTTTTTTTTTTTTTTGGTCAAACTGAGTAACAGTGACAAGTAACTCCAATCAATACTCACATGAAGCAAAAACAAATTAAACACAAGCATGGTCAATACAGAGGAAAGCAAAGAAGGTTTAAAGAACATTTATAAGTCACTCTCTGCCCTTTAAAATATCTTTATATTTTTTTCACTATATAATAATATGTGACTTACATGTGCTTCTATTTACCTACATTCCTATTCATAATTATGACCAACTTTATTAGAYAGTGTTCAAATGAAGTCTGGGAGGAAACGATCAGAATATACAAAACTGGCTAGTATTGCCCCTGAAAGATGGAAAAAGTTGGGGAAAGAACAATTGCAAGGAATTAATAATAGTAGTTAAAAACAGAAAAGTAATATGGTTAAAAAACAAACAAACCAAAACCCCAAATCTTTAAATACAAAAGAAAAAAAATTAAGACTCAAATGCATATTTTTAAATCAGTAACAGAATCAATAACCAACACTATACATAAAGCTAACAGAAAAGACCTTGCTATTGAGGACTCTYAGTATTTCAGAGCTTACACATATTAACATTTCCTTCATTTGAAGATTTGAAGATTTAAGATCAGGAATAATCACATGAAACAGAAAATACACATTTCAAGCTGGTGAGTTTAAAATTACTTTCAAGACCAATTTAAAGAACGGAGTATTTATTCTAAACTTGACTCACCACTTATTTATATTGTGTATTTGGTCACACACAGTTATAATGATTCTCTATCTTCTTTTTGATTTTATATTCACCACTGCTACAGAATAGATGGCTTTCAAGTATCTGCCCTATCAAATCATCTTTCATTAAGAAAGCTTCTTTTCATTGAATGATGAAAAAAAAAAAAAAGAAAACTCAATGAAGAACAAATCCTTTGTTAAGGAGTCAGTAAAATTTGGAAACATCTGCTTGCTACCTGTTACGTTCATAAACACCACCATGTCTATGGAGAAAGTGCCAGTTAAATTGATTTGCCTCTACCTCTACAATTCAAATCAGAATTAAAAAAMMAAMMAAAAAA